ATGAGTGGTGGCCACGGAGGGCTGGGTGGCATCTGCAGGGCCTTGGGTGGCGCCTGTGGCAGGCTGGGTGGTGGCCACGGAGGGCTGGGTGATGGCCATGGAGGGCTGCGTGGCATCTGTGGGGCCTTGGGTGGTGGCCGTTGGACACTGGGTGGCATCCGTGGGGCCCTGGACATCGGCCACAGGGTGCTGGGTGGCATCCATGGGGTGCTGGGTGGTGGCCACGGAGGGCTGGCTGGTGGCTGTGGGGCGCTGGATGGCACCCGTGGGGCGCTGGGTGGTGGCCACAGGGAGCTGGGTGGCATCCATGGGGCACTGGGCATTGGCCACGGGGTGCTGTTTGGTGGCCGTGGGGTGCTGGGCACCGGCTGTGGGGCGCTGGAGATCGACTGTGGAGCGCTGGATGGTGGCCACGGGGTGCTGGACGGTGGCCATGGCCACAGGGCGCTGGATGATGGCCACGGGGTGCCGCACATTTGCCGAGGGGCGCTGGACAGTGGCCGTGGGGTGCTGCATTGTGGCCTTGGGACGCTGGCTGGTGACCACGGAGCACTGGCTGGTGGCCACGGGGTGCTGGATGGTAGCCATGGGGTGCTGGACATCAGCTGTGGGGTGACCGATGGTGGCCATGGGGTGCTGGATGGTGGCCGTGGGCTGCTGGACATTGGCCACAGGGCACCGGATGGTGGCCGTAGGACACTGGCTGGTGGCCACAGGGTGCTGGATGATAGCCCCAGGGGGCTGGACATCAGCTGTGGGGTGACTGATGGTGGCCACGGGGTGCTGGACATCAGCCATGGGGTGGCTGACGGCTGGCCATCAGCCATGGGGGGGCTGACGGTGGCCACAGGGTGCTGGATGGTGGCCACGGGGTGCTGGACGTCAGCCGTGGGGTGACCAGCGGTGGCCACTGGGTGCTGAATGGGGGCCACGGGGCGCTGGGTGGGGGGCGCGGGGGGGGGGGGGGGCCGCGCTTCCCGCCCCGCGTTGCCATGGGGACGCTCGGCGGCCATGTTGAAGCGGGCAATAAAGGAGCCGGAGGAGACGGAGCGGAGCCGAGTCCTGGGGGCGGGGGCGAGGCCTG